GAAACTCATGCGATCGGAAGGTGGTTTCCTTAGATCATTATTTAAAGTATTATTTAAAACCAAGTAACTAAATAGAGCCATATCTTCTGAAAGAAAGGTAAATCCAGGAGCAGTGGATTTTCCTGTCTTTTCCCTTTGCGACATGCTTTGACCTGTACAGGTGGTAAGACAGGCTTCACTTTATTATTACTTCAATTGGAGACGTTATCGGTCAGAATGAAAAAAGCAGATAGTCCTCCAGTAATTATAGCAACAATGATATAGAATTTTTATGTAACCTCTATATATTGAGAATAAAATGCTTCATGAAGACATGAACACTGCACTGTGCTCTATGGGGACAACTGACTATGGGGAAACAAGTAGGCTTTGGGATAGCAGGTTCCAGCCTCAAGTGGAGCCACTGCACCTTTTACTTGCCTTTTAATAACTCCACTGCAAATTACTGGAAATTCCATTCCACTGGAAATTACTACTATAATCAGGGGTCAGAAACGACCAATACACAGTAGTGTACTATCAGAATATCAAAAAGGCACCCCAGTACATTTTTCATATGAGCTGCAGGATGGATTTTTTTAATCAAAAATCCTGAATTCTAACCCTCAGGACTCCTCTATATTTGCTTTTCAAACATAGCTTATAACATTAGCTAAATGGTATCAAGGATTCAGCTCTCAGCTCTTTTCTGCATCTGACTGAGATTTCTGGCATTCCTTCTTCCATCTGTTAAGTAGCAATGTCTTCTTGTTAGTGATGAAAAACAAACATTTTAGAACTGGAATATAGTAATAATAGAATTATTTCAGCATGACCACAACCACTATAATTTCAATATCAAGATCACAACTTCTATTTGAGCTATAGTATATGTTTATTTGAAGAACTGAAGCAATAAGATTCCAGCATGTTCTCTCACAGACTCACAGAATGCTCAAGGTTGGAAGGGACCTCTCGAGGTCATCTAGTCCAACATTGGATTATTCTCAGGATAAAAATATACTCCTTTTCTTCACATATAAATTGGATTTCACTATGAATTTTCAGTATCAGAATTATGAGCTGTGAATATCAGAAATCTCTTCCCTGTACAAGTATTTCTATATTGGGCTGGAAGCACAGTAGCAAATAAAAGTTAAAAACACACTGTGGTTTCAAAGCTATTGAAGTGGATCAAATTAGACAAAAGAGTGGGATTCTCTTCCAATTATGAAACACCAAGATCTTTTAAAGTTGAGTAATATCTCTGCAGACAGCTCCTCCTGTTTCTAACATTGCTTCACTTAATAGTTAATGTGAAGAATTACTTGTGTCATTTTAAAATGTGATTGTCTTTAATTTGGGTGTGATCATTCTGGCAAAATGGTTAAGAGTCTAAAAAATGATTGGGGAATAAATGCTTAGTGACTACCCTAGTGTGAGTGGGAAGCACCACCTTAACATAGAGGCTGGTGATGTAACTGGATGCTCCCTGACTCTCCCGCAAGTGGGTACAAAACTGCCCCTGCAAATGTGAGCTGCTTAAAAGCTACTTTTCCTTTCCTTTCTTTCTTTCTTTTTTTTTTTCCTGACATCTGGTAGACCTCAACTTAACTTGCTGCAGACATAGTGCTTGTTGTCTAATCTTGATCAAAATCTAAAAGATTTTAGATATAAATCCAAAAGAATCACTTTGGTACTAACCTGCAAAATGGGCCCCAGTGTTTGTGACATGTAAAATGAATCCATTCATGGAGTCCCTCCCACAGCAGTAGAGCCACGACACAGCATTACAGTGAGAAGGGTGCTCATTAGCAGGCCTATTAGGTGGATCAGCTGATGGACTTTTAATGTGGGGAGCATGCTGCAATGAACCACTAAACAATGAGAACTTAGAACAACACTATGGTGTAGCAGAATTTATTAGGGTAAAAGCAATAAAACTACACTCAAAGCAATGCAAGAGAAATCACCTGGAGGCCTCATCAGCCAGAGGGATGTGGTATAAATGAAACAACACATTTCTGGCTTGGAAATGTGCCAAGCCCAGAAGGAGTCTAAGATTCAACTACAAGCTGTGTCCAGATTTTGAGGGATACTGGAGTAGAATGACAGACATGGGGGCACACGCTCACAATTAGAGCCATGCCAATCAGAAGTCGCTCCATGGACTTCAGAGAGCTGCGTCTGATGAATGCTGGCACGAACAGGAGCATAATCTAGTCCCTATCAGTAGGGTCTGCAGCCATCATCAGTCTTTCCGATACTCATTAATTGCTCTCCATGATTATTCAGGAATAATACTAATGAGCCCCAGAGTTTTTAAACGGTTGTCAACAACACTAAGAATTCACACAGTGACTAATACACACAGATGGGGAATATAGCTGATTTCAGCTCTTAAAATCTGGTGTGTAGATTTAACAGAAGTGTCCCTAAGTGAGTGAATGCCTTTCAAATGAGAAAATTATCTTCAAAATGTAACTTAAGTTGTTGGACTATCATAACATATCAAGATGTGGATATAGTTACTACCCTGTCAGAGCTGGAAAGACATGGACATCTGCACTCCTTGCCTTGAAAACACTGATCAGCCAAAGTACTTTGGACAAACCCCTTCAATTACCCAATTCCATTTGTAGTCTCAATGCAGCTTCCAAAGGCCGAGTGGATAAAATATCTTTTGCACACAAAAGCTGGTAATAATTTAAGTGGAAAACCTCATTTCCAGACACACTTTTCATCTAGCTCTCAATGGCACAGCAGGTACCACTGCAGGTGGCCACATTTACATTATGCAATGTATGCTCTTGTTCTCCAGCGCAAAGTTTTGGAGTTGGGCCAGACTAAAACCACATCGCATCGTGGTAATCCCTATCTCCCTGCTTTAGAAAGCTGCGAGCCTAAAGGCAGGGAAGCACCCCTACGGGCAAATAAAGACACTCGGTAATGGCAGTGTAACAGCGGGCAGCCTGTACACGCGGCAGCCGGAGCAGAGGAACGCAAACGCT